TAGATGTAAATCTATGGTTGCTCTCAATCACTTATTTCTTTTTTCACTCTAGTTTGGTTGGGTATGACTGGCAATCTCAACGTCTAGTCATGTGATAATTCTCCACTAATGAGTACTTCACATTCAAGCTTATACTAAGTAATTCAGACCCACTAGTTATCTAAACCCAAATATCAAATACAATTTCATAACAACAATTTTATTTTATTTTTTTTAAAGCCAAATCCCATGTTTTACCTCACTTCTTTAAACTTTCTTCTTGACCCTTGTAACGAGCTTTATGTCAATAACTCCTCGGTTGTTTAGGCCAAAAGGTATCGGGTTTCAAAATACTCCTACGGGCTTAATAACTCGAGTTAAAAATGCTACAAAGTGAGGGCCAAGATTCAACAATTGTAATTTCTTTTTTTCTTTTTTTTTTTAGCACAACAAAAATGTGGCTTAGACCCTAGCATATGGTCATTAGCTAGCTTATACTTGGAAAAAGACACTCCACACAAATATTTTCAACATGCACAGAATCAACACACTTCTAGATAATATCCTTAACTGGCTCGATCACCCCCAAACTTATCTCCAAATTTGGTAAAGTGAAAGAGAAGAGAATACAGGTTAATCAAAATTTTCAAACAACTCACAACCTGGTTCTTACTAATTCAACGTTTTTCCATCAAACAAAAATTTTCCACATCTAGATAATAATTGATCATGACCATTATGCTCCAAGTAACTCAAGATCTTAAAATGAATAAGCAATTAAAAAAACACAAATAACATATTTGGTCATGCATAGCTCATGAATCAATAACAATTTCAAACATCAAAACCATGCTTAGCTGGCAAGACTATCTAACATGTCAACACAACATCAACAATTTAAGCATCATTACCCCCAAAATTAAATCACACATTGTCCTCAATGTGTAAAGAACAAAATAAAAAGGAGAAGGATAATGAAACTTCCCCGATTGGACATTTGTGAAGAGGTCCCAATGCTTGACTTGGACTTGGTATGCTCTTGACGAACTTGGGCAGTGACCTTGTAAACCAATTTACCCCCAAACTTGTAAGGAACCATGTATGTGTGGGACTTCAAAAATTTTCCTACAAAAAATGATAGGCAATTAGATAAAAGCATAAAAATCCATAAAAATAAATGAAAAGTTTAAAAATTAAAAAGTTAGGTTACCTCCCAACAAGCTTTTTTTAAAGTCTTTAGCTTGACTTTGGCCTTTGAATCACGGGCATCTAAAGAAGGTTTTGGATGCCTTGCCTATTTTCCTTCTTTTGGTTTTGTTCCACTTTTCATTAGATCTCTAAAAACTCAACATTGCCCTTTTCAATGTAGTAGGACTTGCCTTTTTCATCCAAATTAAATTCAACTATGTAGATTTCTACCTCCTCATCGAGTTTAATCACAAAATCATTTTCTTGGCAATCAACCAAGTTAAAAGAATGTAAGTCAATTTTCTTCTCATTGATTGCCACGTCTTCATTTAGCTCCATTGTGATTGATTTTTCATTATATCCAGGCTCTCCTTCAATGGTTGATATTTCATCGGATTGAATGATTGGTCCACATTCAAACTCCCTGAGCAATGACAAGTCTTTCTTATTAACCCCGTTGAGTGGATTATACCCCCAATTTTGAAATCGATCCCAATATTTGTAATCTCCTACTAAAATGTCTTCTTCATCTAATTTGACAAGTTCATTGTAATACTTTGCAAGTATCCTCTCATTCAAAAATAGGGGACCGTCACTCGAAAGTTTGATGTCCTCGTCCCAATTATCGGGTACATAATCTCTCGCGAGCATGTAACTATTATCAAAATTATCCAGTACCTGTTTTCGACTTTTCAAATATTGTCTAAACCAAAGTAGCTTCGGCAATGAGGTATCAGTGCATGACAGCAAGCATTGCCCTGTACAATGCATCGCTTGACAAATTTCACATCTTGGACCTCCATACATATATCCATAGTTAAAATTGAGATTATTCATTGCAAAAGTTTTGATATTTCACCAAGTTAGAATAATGTAAATATCTGAAAAGTATAGGGAGAGACCACAAACACAATTAAAAATAAATAAAAAAATTGTTAAAACTAAAATAATTAAATTGGTAATTAAAGTAAAAACATTCCCGGGCAACGGCACCAAAAACTTGTTCACTAAAATACTACACTGCAAGTGCATGGGTCGCGTACAAGTAATAAAATGGACCTTTTGAGTCCGAATTGTCGATCCCTCGAAAAATGTATACTTTCAATTACACAATTCTAATTAATTTAATTCTGACAATAAAATAAACACACACAATTAAAGATATGATTTTAAATGAGGAAATTAACTAAAAACCTACAAGAAATTTTGGAAGCAATCGTGGTTGGGATTTATAGTTTCGCTTAACTGTCGCCTAATTAATTTTTTTACAAGCCAATTAACAAATTACTCATTCACGGTGTTAGACCCGATCTTCCAATTTTAGTCAATTACCTCTCTCGATCGAAATTAACCCTAATTGATTGGTTTAACCTACTATACCTCTATGTCAATTGAAATCAAACAACCGTATTAAATCTTTGTGAAAATAGTTCAATGAGTCGCCTAGGGTTGGGGGTATAACTCTATCCTCTAAACAAACCTAAGGTTTCTACTACTTGGTTTAAAATGTACAATATTCTCTCAAACGATATACAAATCACTTTACATAATCATTCATTGGCCACATAAATGAAAATGCAATAAATACAATAGTAGAAACACATGGAAATAAATAACTTGACATTAAAGAACAAATATCAAAATTAATTGAAAGCTAGGTTAAACTAATACCATAAATCCCAACACAAATATTTAGCCCATGTTAAATATATGATAAAAAGGATAATGCTTTATACAATACATTGCAAATTTGACAAAATAATGGAGAAAATAAAAGGTATAGATAAAACCCCTTTTGAGCTTGCTCTTGATTTCTCCAAAGCTTGTCAAATCTTTAATTGAATCTCCTTGTACTTTAAATTGTGCCTCCAAAATACCAAGGAAAGGAAAAGAAAAGAAAGGAAGAGAAAAGAAAGGAGAGAGAGAAAAAATGCAAAAGGAAGAAGACCTAGCTCCCAAAACCAAGAATCTCTAGAAAATGACCAAAAATCGGTAGTTAAATGGCCAAAATCACGTCAAGTGAAATTGTGAAAGAAGTTCCAAAATTTACATGAAATAGGCAAAATTCGCCCAACCGGAAAGCGATGCGCGAGCGTGGGACGAATGTGAAAACCCTTTTGGTCATGATAAATCAAAAAGGGTTTCCCGCGCACGCACCATAATAAGCGTGCGCGCGGGCTTGAGCTTTCTTCATTTCTTTTTCCAACTTAGTCGTCCATTTAATTGCAGACAAGGCTCCTCAACTTTGATCATGTACAATCTAGTCCTCAAAATTTGATTTTCATATCACTTTTGCCCTCCAAAATTGCAACCTTAGGTCCCCAACTTTCGGCACTTATGCACTTTGGTCCCCAACTTCACATTTTTGTGCACTTTTGGTCATTTTCACTCTCTTTTGCCTTGTTCTCTTCCCTTGGGTGATTTTTTTTGCCTATCAAAGCAAATATTACATAATTGTGAGTCGAATTCAATTCATTTAATCAATAAATAACATATTTAATTCCTAAATAAGTGCGTAAAAACACACTTATCAACACTCAAGTTACTTGAGATGTATTTGGATCCAAAGAATGGTAGAGAGCCCATGTTTAAAAGTGCAGTTCACCTTCCCCACAACCATGGAGAAATGCTGGATCCCTTGCAAGTCCTGGAGGTACAGGCTCTATTTCTCGAGCTTCAACTTTATGCTTTACAGAGAAATGCTTGAAATGAAATCATTTCCGTTAAATATAGTGGAAACAATTAGTACCACAGCTATTTCCTTTATGCTTAAACGTAATGCTTTTAGTTTTAAGTAATGGAGTCCACCCCCTTCCATACAGGTAGAAACCCTGCTTTCAATTGCATGTTGAGCATATTCCCCTTTTTTTATATTACGAATTTTTGTGTAGCAAAAAACAATTGATTGAACGAGAATGAGTAGAATAAACTTTATTTTCTAAACGTAATATTACAAAATTTCATTGAACCTAATAATTATTTCTTCTCTGCCTAACCAATATTGAATGGTTGCACAAAGCTCGCTTCGAATTGCATGCTGAGCACATTTTCCATTATCGTGTAGACAAAACACATTAAGTGGTGGAGAGAAGATGTTTGAAAACATTCAAGCGAAAAATTCTAGGGAGCCCAAGTTCCTTTTGGAGACCAAAAAAACTCCGACATTTACAATTTGTTATTAAAAAATTGCTGTGATTAGAAATTACTCTATAAGTTATTTAACATGAAATTTTTTTTAAGGTCTTTCGAAAGCAGACAAATTTAGTTGATTTTGCAGAGTTAATCATTAGTCTCGAACTAATCTTCTGCTGAAGATCAGTGCTCAATGAAATTGTAAGTTGTGTTAAATATTATGAGGTTTTGTCTCGATAATTTCCAAATTGTGTATCTATATCTTCTGACCCTCAACATAATTCTTTTTTCTAATTAAGTGGCTTAAATTCTCTCTTAGCCTTTAAATAAACTCCTATCCCAATGATTTCCAAGGTTCCAACCGTAAAACTTTGTCTGGATGAGTCACATGGTTCCCCTCGCACGTCTGATATCCCATCCACCGCTACGTTAAGGCGCTATCAATCTCGTTCGTTCGATTATCTCTCTTTCTAATTATTGCAGCTGGCTTCTGTGTTTTTATTTTGTTTGCGAAGTGCGTTTGCATCATTTCTATGTGAGTTGAGCATAAAAGAAACCTGACAAATTATACTTTCAAGTGCACTGCTTTATTCCAGGTTGTAAAATGCGTTGTTTTCCTCTTGAAAATTTGAATTTTCCTCTCAGGTCTTTTTCATACATTATTTACTTCTTTGTTCAAATTTTGGATTGACCCTTGCATCTTATAAAATATCATTTCTTTAATACAAATGTGCATATGGAATTTTGTAATACAATCTCCTGTCAATCCTCAACATTCAAGACACTAATATTACCTTTAAAATCACACAACTCGTACATTGCACGAGCCAAAAACTAGTATTATTCAAAACATGAATACGCATCTCTATTTCTGTACAATATTATACATATCATACAAGACTACAGGAAATCCAAGTCAGACAAGTTCATATCTTACAATGGATTGGCTCGGACTGAGACTGCAGCCAATAGTTCGGCAAGCTACACTATCTGTACATATAATCAAATCGACTCCATCAAAGAGGCAATGCTATACATCTAACCGCTTGGGGCTGCACACGGGCAGTGAGATCTCCAATCTACCAGAAAGGACACCATCTGATACAAGAAGAGCAGGTAGATCAATTAGACACAAGCGAAGTAAAATAAGTGCGTGTTTGGATAAGCTTAGAAAATGTTTACTTGCAACTACACAAATTTTAAAATAAGTAGTTCTCTTCAGTGAGAGTTAAAATACGAGGAAAATTTTAAAAGTAAGGTAAGAATTGATTTCCAATAAATAACGTTTTTAATCGAAAAAATACTTTTCGGATGAAATATTATCTTCGCATACATTAGTCTAGATAACTTGAACATGACAAATAGCTTGTGGTATTCTGTTTGTCAATTCTCTCATTTGAGAGAACAATTTATACAAGGTTGAAGTAAACTTTTCCTCAAACCAACAAATAGATAAAAGAAATCATACCCAACATAATTCTGGCACAAATTTTCATGTGATTTTGCTTGACGAATAAGCTTCTGCACTTGTAATTTGACGGTTAAACCATGGTCAGCTTCACGAGTATCACCAGAAATAAGGGTACTGTGGTCCAGCGAATGTTGAATGGAACTAGATAGCAATGAAGAACACGGGGAGAAATCACGCCCAGTGAGTTTATTGCTCATCCGAGCCATAACCACCACTGCTCGTTCATTCAAAACCTCATTAGCATCACCTAGTTGATTCACAGCCTACAATAGACCATTGAGTCCATAAGTTCGAGTTTCGAGTTGGTATTTTCTTTTAGCAGGTGTGAGAGAGAGGACTATTTGGAGAGTTTTCTCCATATTTTGCCTACAAATAAGCATGCAAATTGATTTGTAAGATAAAAATCATCAGTACCTGAAGGAGTTCTCTTTCCCGTGCACCCCGTTGTGGTTGAAGCAGCTCTCCATTTTGGGCTGATTCTTCGCTATTCACAATGGGTGGGACATGCATGTTTGCAAGAGTGGCCATTTGAGGGACTTCATTGAAGTTGAAAAGCCGCCAATTTATTAGGGGATCATGCACAAACGCCTGAAAAAAGGTCAATTATAAAATTGATGCATACGGTAAAATTTTCAATGCTCCCCGTGACTCTAAAAAATTACTGTAATTTGATAAAAAAAAGTCTGAAAAAGCTTCTACACAGTGTTAACCATGAGGGAAGAACAAGAAAGGGGTGGGTAATTAAAAGGGTTTCTTCTCTTTGATCAAACCCTATTACCATAACCACTACTTAGCACCCTAATCCAAATATACAGCCACCAACAGCAGTTAACAATTACTACATAAAGCAGGACCCCAATTCCGCAATATCAACAACCATCTCAACCATAATAACATCCCATACAACCTTCATTGCCCTTCTATATAGTGCTACCATCAAAATTCAACAATCAAGATACCAATGACATACCCTATCCCCCATCAAGCACGTACGGCATAATTCGGCTTCCTGAATTACTATAGCCACATATATACCAAAATTGTTATTGACAATCAGGAACCAGCCATACTTGAATGCAAGTTCACTAATTTTTTTTTTCCTCACCACAAAACAGAGCAAAAGCAAGGACAGTGAGTAATATGCGAATTTTTTGTCCTTCAAAACAGACGAGAGAGTGGTGCTGGTGACACCTTCCAGTGGTGATTTGGTGAAACTAGGGGTTATATATTCCAATAGTTACCAGCAACTTCCAGTGGTGATTTGGTGAAACTAGGGGTTATATATTCCAATAGTTACTGAGGGGTTCAATGACAAATGATAACTGGTAGCACTTTTACAAAACATTAGATATGAGGAGAGAAAAGAGTAAGAACCTGATCAAGAAAGGAAAGAAAAAAGCTGCAGAACAAACTAACAGAAAGAACTCCGGCAAAACAGAAAACAAAACACACCTGTCTCACCATGACTATGATAAATATTTGGAACTTACAAGGATACCTATAGTGTACTGAACCTGTCAAACCGGTACATTCAAAAGATAAGTAAGAGCAGATTCAGGCAGTACCTCCATCATGGCCATAACACACTCTTTATTTGTACGCAGAACCTGCATGACATTTTCACAAGTCGAGCGAAAATTTC